TAATGATTCAATAGCATTTGTTACTTTAGTAATGGCTGAACGCATAACTTTCCGTTCTTTCTTAGATTTCGTTAGCTCTTCAGCCATTTTTGTAACCTTGAATTCCACTTTACCACAAAATAAATTCAACAAATTTCTTTCTGAAGACTCACTTACGCATTTATCCGTGAACTTTGCAGAATGACATATCCTCCTGTTCTGACACCACTGTCATATCCTTCTTTTTCTTGGGCGTGTAGCTTCTGGATATGTATTTACTTCCTACCGTAGACGTATCGTATTGTGTGCGTTGCATAAAACAGCCGTTTTAACGGCACAAAACTTTATTAACACACAAATAAAAATAATAAGTACAAACGATGAATACACAAGTATCACTTCGTATCTTGCATCTAAGCTGACATACAACACATTTCCTTCGTTACTACCTACTAACTACTCTTCTCTAGTAAGTCTCATGAGAGAGAGGCGTTGCAGGCCGTTCGGCTAAACTGCGCATGCGTGGTCATCACGTCATGACACCTTAGATAATTTTAGCCTGGCTTATATCATCCGTTATGCATTAAATGTGCATGCGTAAATGCATTATGCGTTTACACATGCACATAAAGTTTGTAGCCTAGAGGTCCGGATTGCAGACTTTGTACTGTATATCACTTTGCACATGCAGTTTCTTTGAAGCAGTTTTGAAACTGTTCTTCTTTCTGAAAACTTTTTCTAAAGAGTTGACATACGAAAGTTCAGTTTTTTCGACAGTTATACTTCTGTGAATTTTGTATTCATATCAAATTCTTTCGAAACTTTAGTTGTGTCATTCAAAGAGGCTGCTTTACTAGATATTTTAACTGCAAATTAAGCTTAAAGTAAAATCCAGGTGATGCAGTTCAGCTGAAATGTGCTTATCAAATGATTAGAAGAATAAAACATCTCTAAAACCTTTTTGTCAACAGAATTCAGCATCTATCCTAGTAATCTGATCTTAATATGTAGTGCAAATATTCTAAATCATATGATTTTGACAGTTTTTAAGAGCAGTAAATGACATGTTAAAGAGCACATATTTAAAATTATCTGTAGCAGTATAAAAAAAAAACTAATTATTTGAAAGATTCTTTGTAAGAGGATTAATGTAAAAATCTATATTTCATATATTTTTATTAAAATAATGAGCTACCGAACCATTAAACTCTTAAAGCTTAGTTTATATAATTAATAAGAGTTTTGCTTTCATGGGAAAAAAGTGAAGCATCAATCCAAATATAGTTAAAATTTGACTTTGGCTTAGTATCAATTTCGAGTCTTATGTTTTGATATTTGCCTTAAGATTTTCAGTTCATTTATGTACCTTTGAATTTCCATTCCAACAACCATTCCGTCAAAAATTTCGATTAACTAAAGTTCAAGTTTTTGAAGCTTTAATGTATTCACATTGTGGCAATTAAATAATCAGAGTGTTTTAAAAAATAGAAACGTGGAAAAGTTTTCATGCGTGCAGCTTCCTGTTTGAATACGAATACAACAAGTAATTAAAGAGAAGGTTTATAGAAGTTTGTTATTGCCACATTTGTTGGAGTTGAATTTTGCATTATTTTTTTATTTTCCATGTCAGAAAAAGCTTTCTTTTGAAAGGACACTTAAGATTTTTGGGAAACAAAAATAATTGCAAGGAGATAAATCTGGAGAACACAGGGGATGATCAAGTATGCATTCTTATTTTCAGTAAAGAGTGGCTGGTGGGAGAAAGCATTAATGTGCTATACAACAGTTTCTGGGCCGAATAACGTAAGATTAAAAATCATACATAATTCTCGGCTATTTATGTCAGCTACTCAGCCAAATAATATTTAATATTGCAGTATTCTATTGACACTTCAGCTTGTAATATAAATCTAGTGTCACTTGATTTAAACACCTATTTAATCTTTCCATGATAGATTGATTACAGGGAGATGATCATCCTATCTTCAGCTTAGATTCCAAGAATGCCAAGGAAATATAATAAGAGCAAGTGTAAACTAATATTCATTTGCGCTATGGCATGGTAGTTTAAAAATTAATACATTAACAAAACTCTGCTTGAGAATATGAGACTAATTTAAATATTTCAAATGAAATAGTAAAAAGACTGCTGAATGCTGGTAGATTGTCCTCGAGTCCAAACCAAGTGATTGAGCTGGCTGCATGGTTTTGCTAATTCATTCAACTTGAATATAAGTTGCTTTACCTTTGTAAAGGCATTCCTCCTCTTATGCCAATAGTGTGCATGTGCTTTGTCACATTTAACCGACCAACTAACCAACCTAATTTATGTATAATTTTTAAAGTAAGAAAAGCATAAACTTGTTGAAAAACTGTATAGTACGTAATCAGGTGGAATGTGGTAGATACAGTGCCGATAGTTGAATTGCCAGTACTCTCTTTCTGAATTTAGATTGTCATTTTATTAGTTAAACTCACTTTGTACTTTTTTGTGGAGCAGGAGAGAATAAAAGTGCAGGTGTTAAGGCCTTGAGTGATATATTATAAAATTAACAATATATTTACAGGGGGTTATATTATTTTATGAGAAGAATTTTTGTAAATTCTATTGTAACAGAAATAATAATGATAATGGGAGTACAAATGTAACGATAATCACCATTTAACAAAAAGCATTTATTATATTGCTTGACAAATTCACTACTAAAAATTTGATTATTCTAAATCTTATGGTTGCATAAAAATATATATTGCTTTGAAGGGGGAGAAGTGTTCTTTGATTATAATATTAGCAAACTTTTCAAATATAAAGGACAGTTTGTTTAAAACATTATTTTGCATCTAATGCCACAAAATGTTTTTGGATGTAAAATGTTTTCAGAATCATTTTTGTTTGTTGTATTTGCTTCACATAGGAAGATAAAGATCTTATATTCTACTAAATTTTGTTCCTGTTAAATATTTCTGTAGTAGAAGATAGCAAGTGTTGTTTATAATATTTTTGGCAGTTTCTGTGACATACTCAGAAGTATTGAATATTGCTACGATATGTACAGGTGCGGCGAGATAGCTTTCCTGCAAAACAGGTTCAGGGTTGCAATAAAATGGCAAAGGAAGGCAGGGTTGCCACATTTGGCAAGAAATCGCCCATTTGGCAACATTTGGTGACAAAATTGGCAGTTTGCTATGGACAGATGGACAACCTTTTGGAACGAATTCTTACTGGTTTAGCCCAGAATGTACTCGAACACAAGCTGAGAGCTATATAAACCCTGCCGCTCTAGCGAGCTGATAGTCGGTCATTAAGCGAGTGTCTTGAAGTCTAGCGCCGAGTTGGCCGTCGACTGCATCAAAGAGTCTCTTAGTGTATTGCGGTTAGTGCATGCATTGTCGAGAGAGTGTGTTAAGCTCCAGAAACGATTGAACCGAAGAGTCGGGAGTTGTGCTCTGTGTGTCGTTGAGTGCTTCACGAGTTGTAGCGTGGGGAGTCTCAAAAGTACGTGAAGTTTAGAGAACGACCGAGCAGAGTCGGGAGCTGTACTCTAGTGCTTTGCAGTGAAGCTGTCTTCACCGTGATAGCCTGATTACCTGAAGCCTTTGTCGCTGATTTATTCAACGTGTTTACAGTAATTCATCGACGACTGTGTAAATGTGTTATTGGAGCTGTCCTGATTAATATTGGCTAAATAAAGTGTGTTTCAATAGTCCATCAAGTGCTCTCGTTGTTATTCACTCCAAATCCACGAACCCCATACGAAAGTAAAGGAAAAAAATGTAACTATATATATATATATATATATATATGATGTACAGTTTTGAAATCTGAAAATAAATGTTTTTGCACATAAAATGAAAGTAAGTAAAATAAAAGCAGACGATAAAATGGGAAAAGGTAAAAATTTTGCTCTTATTAAAAAAAAAAAGGAAGAAAGAAGAAAGAAAGAAAGAAAAAGAAAACTTTAAACTTTTGATTAATATTTTTTATAAATTTAAAATATAGCTTTTCATATGTTAACAAATATTTGTTAGACATTATGAATAAAAATAAAATATTTAGTAAAAAATTATTTGGAAATTTAATGCTCAAAATAACTTTTGCAGTTCATTGAAAATTCTATCAAATACTTAAACCGTGTTTGCCATTATAATTCCTTTTAATATATATGTCAAATTTTAAAATGCATCATTGTATGAATTCACATATATATTTGAAAATTATGAATGAAAAGCTCTAATTTTTTGCAGGTATGCCTAGAAATATAGCTACTTGAAGATGACGGTAAAATTTTATAAGTTGTAATTCAAAATTTTTATCGAAAAATTTTAAAATTTATTTTAAAATGGAAAATTTTTTAAAAAATCTGAAAATAGTGTATAAATATTATTTAGATTAAACTTGAATTTTGAACTATGAAAGAAGAAATTAAGTCAGTTTAATTTAAAAGTAGTAATATTAAATATATGCCAAATTCAATTAGCACTATGGAGTTGAAATTTTGATTGCTAATTTTAAAGAAAACTGCTGCTACAATTTTTATTGGACTTGGCACTTTGGCGTAATTTTATGCATAATCAAACTATGGAACGTTATTGGCATGCCATTTCAGAAAAGTCAGATATTCTGTTAGAATAGCACTCTATATAAATCTAATATATGTTCTGAGTTGTGCTTTTGAGACATGAAAAATGCAAGTTGAGTTTCATTAATCTTCCGAATAGAAAGGGATATATAGAAATTTCCATCCCCCCTTTTCTTGAATCAGTGTATATCTCCTTTGCTTTATACTGTGTGTCAAATCCTCCATCTCTAGACTATGCAAAGAAAAGAAAATAAATAAAGAAGGCCGGTCTGAATATTAGATCATTCGGGTAATTGAATTTTCAGATTTTGAACTTTGTATTGTATAGTGTTTACCATAAACCATCTTTCTAAAGTGAATATAACAAATTTACTCTTACTTAATTTTCCTTGACTTGTGCATTATGTATTATTTTATTTCTTTTTATCATTTTATTTGCAGATGGTTTTGCCAGGAATTTTGGAACAAGTGGTTAGTTGTAGGGATGCAATAGCTCAGGAATATTTAATGGAATGTATAATACAAGTCTTTCCTGATGAATTTCACCTAAGGACTCTGAACAATTTCCTCAAAGCTTGTGCTGAGCTTCATCAAAATGTTAATGTCAAAAATATTATTATTGCACTAATTGACAGGTAATTAATGAAATTAATTGACAGGTAATTAATGACTAATTGACAGGTAATTAATGAAATAATTTAGTACTTCAAAATAATTTATGTTTTAAAATATAAAATTTTCCAATTATATGCTCTATATTCTAAAAGTTGACTTAGGATTTTTTGATATTATTTTTGTAGATATGATTTAAAATCTTGTGATTACGTGATACATATGCAATGTTACACTAAAGGTCCATCTACATGTAGCGATTTTCTTGGCTGACTTTGCCTTACGACAATATCTAAGATAGCTCGCCTGTCTGCACAGAACGATTTTCGGTGGTGCAGGAATTTATTCAGCCAATCATTATAAAAGGAAGAATTCCCGTGCTCTACAGCGTTACACTGTCTACAGTTGTGTAAAGAAAGCTTACAGTGTTATCGAATAGTCAAAATAATAGATGAAGCTTTTCCTTTAATTGCTACTTTAGCAACATCTGCAATTTTGATCTTTGCTGCTGGCAGAAGAAGGAAAAAAGAAAATGGGTCTGAACCAGAAATTGGATCAAACAAGGAAAAATTCATGGTATGCATAATGCCCTGTTTGGGAAGTTGCATATTGAAGACACTGTGAAATACTGTTGAATGTGTTACCTATGATGTCGTGTGATTTTGATTTTTTATTAAATTTAGTTTGCAGCAAAATTGAAAAAAACTGATACAATTATGTGTTTCTTAATTTCGTCATCTGACAGGTTGCACATTACTCTACGCATTCTATCTGGTGATAAGTTAATTTTTATATTATTAGAAATTAGCTAATTGATTTTATTAAAATTGGTGTGTCCCAGTCACTAAAACTAAAGTATAAGTGTAAACAGTAGTTTTATTATTTTCAATATCAATATTATTTTTGTTTCAAAAATTTTTTAATGAATTATATGATAATTATTTCATTGCATCATTTTTAATGAATTTATGTTAATCTTCTTTACTGTTATGTTACAGATTGTTTTTGTTTGCATTATTACTATTATATAACTAATACATTCTGAAAACTATAATCATATGGTTATATCAGTTAATCAGCTAATAAAATTCAGCAATATTGTATTAATTTGTGCTGTAATTTGTTTACATCTGTTAGCACCAAACTGTTTTATTTCTGCAAATTTTTACTTTCAACAAGATAATATACAAACATAAAATAATTTTCGCCATAACTAGAAAATATTCGAATATATTAATTCAATGGGGAAAATAAAACTTATCAAAATAAGGGAATTCCTTAATTTTTTATTTTTAAAATTTACATTACTTGCGTCCCACAATACAACATTTTCTCTATAAATATCTATCAGTTGTAAAAATTGAGTTTCACTCCAAATATTGCCATGTTTATTATTTATTCCAAAATGAGGAGAAAAGCATATGGTCACTCAAAGAGCAATCTTATTGTCTAGAGACACCAATTTTGTCGTACACTAGCAGCAACATCGAGCAGTGAACACTGGATCTGAAATCATGGGAGAGAACATGACCGATATTTGGCGGATGTGCAGATCCTTAAAATTGTTGCTCTACGAGAAAGTCGGCTTGGAAAGTCGCTGCGTGTAGATGGGCCTTATAAAAGAGGGTATTTGCAGAATACATTTGTTGATAAATCAATCTATAAAGAAGTACATAATTTATTATTGGAAATTTCCAGTGTTAAATTTTATGTATGTAAAATTTATAATATATAGCAGTAATTTTAAAGTCCCTTGTACAAGCTTGATTTGGAAATAGAAAACAATAAAACAAAACATTTTTGTTTAGGATACATGTCTGCAAAATTCAGTTTTGGGTACTGAAAGATTCTTGTTATAATGCAGGCTATGATACTAGTCGTATTGGATGGCGCATTAAGTTGCTATTTTAATCATTTTTATTCATCTTGAAGGTGTCATGTCTAATGTGGAGCATTTAATGAAATTTGAAATGGTTTGTGTGTATCTAGAATATGATTCTGCCAATTAAAATGAGAGTTGCTGTCGAGATTGTAATGTGAAGATCTAAGAGATGTTTGCAAAACTATCAAGTATGACCATATTTGCACTGTTACCTTTAATCACAGAACATTCTATATAAACATGCAAATATTATCAATATATAAACACACACACACTCTATCTCTCTATATATGTAATAAGATGACTAGGTGAAAGAAAGTTATGACAGATTGACAATAGTTTTCTGCATTATAACTTGAAGAGGCTTTACTGCCTAGTTAGAAAGATGATGATACTCAAAGACAGACATGTAATTTAGAAGTAATAAAGAGCAAGAATTTTGTTGACACAGAATTGTTGATCCATAATGAATAGAAGACTGGCAGTCGAGGCACATTAAATCTTCATTTTTTTTTTCCAGTAAACATATTGCAGCCACAAACAATTTGGCACATTATTTGTGCCTATTTTAAGAGGTTTACATTTTTGATAACTTTTCAGCAAGAAGGAAGCAGCAGACAGCAGTCCAGCTAGGACGAAGAGAAGCAATCAAGTGTGTATGTTCTTGTTCGCTAATTCAGACTGAGGTAGTTTTGGTTCTCAGTGCATTTTGATTGGATAATTAGTACTGCTGTAAAATTATTACTGGATGTTTGAGTTTTAGTTCCATTTACATCATCAGAATTATGTAAGAGTCATATGACATGGATTAATCTCGAAATGACGCAGTGCAAATAGAGATTACTATTTTTAGAATACAGAGGGAAAAGGAATTTACACTGCTAATTTAAATTATAATTTACCTTTTACATATTTTTTATTTTTCTTGCATATACAGGGTTATCCAAATTAAACTTCCAAACTCGGAGGCCTGTGCAGAGTGTTGTGTGGGTCATAATGTGATGAAATTTTAAAAACAGACACTTCAGATCATGCACTCGAGATGTATTACACGCAAAAAAAAAAAAAAAAAATAGTACAAGAAGTTGCCAATAGGTGGTGCTGTAACACTAGTAATGTGCCTATTGCAGCAACGTGATTTGCTGAAATAAAGCTTCTGCGCAACGTATCCAAAAGATGAGCCCTACAAAAGCGGAAGACAGGCCTTGCACGGGCAGTTGTTTCCAGCTCGCTGATGCACAATGGCGACTTTGAAAGATAAAGCTCTGTTAGTGAAACTTTTCTACCAGAATGACGAGAACTCCTGTGCTGCGATAAGAGCATTCCATCGGCTGAAGATCTTACGCCGAGGACCAATGACACCATGCGCTCTACGAGACATGATGAAGAAGTTCAAAAGAACAGGACAGCTGGGAATTTTACCAGGTAGAGGATGACAGGTTGTGGAATCTGCACGCATAGAAGACGTTGCTTTGGCGGTCGTGGACCCCACTATCCAATCGCCGCATGTTGTTGTCAGTGTGCAAACTGTTTCTCGTGCTGTTGATATGCCCTATACGACCATCTGGCGTGTGATACGTCGAATCCTCGGTTATTTTCCTTACAAAATCCATAGTCGTCATTAGCTGTCCGACGGGGATCCTGTAGGAAACATTTGCTTTGCAGTTCCTTGCCAGAATGGAAGTCGATGCTGCTTGTTCGTAGAACATCCTTTGGACGGATGAGGCCCATTTTCACCTGAATGGGCAAGTGAAAACTCACGTGCAATCCATCAAGTGCCCTTGAACCCTCCAAAGGTTACTGTATGGTGCGGTTTCACTGCAACATTCGTCATTGGGCCTTATTTTTTTGAAGAGGTGACTCCAACAGGGTTCAAAACCTGCTCTGGCACAGGAAAACAGTATCAGGACATGTTGACAACGTTTGTGATCCCAGAACTGCAACAACGTGGCTGCCTCCAGGACACAATATTTATGCAGGATAGTGCTCCTCCCCATATTCTTCGTGGCGTTCACAGAGTTCATCTCTCCCGATTTAGGCGGGAGACTCACGATTTTTGACCGCTGTCCCGCCAACCCGATTTACAATATATTTCTCACGATTTTTATGGAACTTGGCTTAATACTTCTGTATAGGAACAAAAAAAAAAAAAAAAGTGATTTTGGACGTCTGAAAGCAACTGAATTTTCTCTAGATTATATCTAAAATAAACTTTGCGAATCAGATGAGAATTTCTGCTTTGTGAGCAACAGCATATGTATCCAGAAACGTTGTTCCAGTTCTCCAATGGGCATCGAGCTCCACTGCGTGTCATCCGGCATATATTAGTCAATGAGCACAAAGCAAGCTCAAGGCCGTTGGCCATTATTTGGGTGTTCTTTCATTATTTTGTTCATCTTGTCCTGAGTTGTGCGAGTACACGTGCCTGTGGGAAATAGTTTTAGAAATTATCATCTTTTGTCATGTCTGCGAGAAAAGTGAAATACTCGAGCATGTTTCAAAAAACGTACACAGTTGACTTTGCTTCCAATATTTCCTCAAGGAAATGTAATTAGTTTGCGATGTGTACCATCTGTCATTGTGATTTTTTGATTTCGCATGGTGGAAGGGCAGATGTTCTCAAACATGTGCGAACACAAAAGCACAAGGACAACATGAGTTGTTTTGGAAAAAACGAAAAATTAAATTTTTCTTCGGAAACAAAAGACCAGAAAGTGATTAATGCAGAATGTCTGTTCTCTGCCTTTTTACTGGAGCACAGCCTGCCACTGAATGAATCGGATCACACTGCAGCTTTATTTAGAAAAATGTTTCCCGATAGTGAAATCACTAAGAAAAATACTCAAGTGCAAGGACCAAAACAGGTGCAGTTGTTAAAGAAATGGGTTTGAAAAATAAATCTTCAGTTATTGATTGCATTAAAACAGCTCTGTTCTGCCTCTCAACGGATAGAAGCAATAATACCAATTCAAAACTGTATCCAATTGTTGTTTCTTTTTTTAATCCAGAGTCTTCAGAAATTGAGTGCAGTTTACTTTCTGTCCCCACTTTAGAAGGACATTCGACAGGCTTTAATATAGCACAGCTAATTATTAAAACTTTAAAAGAAAATTCGATCCCTCTGGATAATTGCTTAGCACT